CTTTTCCTGCAGCTTCACACAGACAATTTGCATTGAAGTCCTTCATCTTTCACTTTAGAAAGAAAGCCTGGATCCATTTAAAATAATTTGGAATTAAAATGGAGTTTCCCCATCTCCATGGGGAGATCAGTGTTTTGAGCAACTGGGAGCATTTCCTGTATCTCAGCAGGTAAAAATGTTGGAAACTCTGAGTTAGAAGTTAGGAGAGGCATAGGTGTATTTAGTGTGTTGGGAAGGGCAAGGAGGAAGGCTAGGACAAGGAAGAGTCATCTATGTATAATGCCAGTCTCTGTGGGTGCTTTGGACCAGGATAGGCAGAATGGGAGGAGGGACATCTGGACTGTGATGGCTATTGTCTTTTAGGGGAAGCTTGCTGAATATTATTAGGGGATTCATTTCATGCACAACATAGGACTCTCCAGTCCCAGTGATTTACTGTAAATCCTTCCAGGTATACTTTAAATCCATGAAGAGTATTTACAAATTGTACCTCTGTGGTATGCCCTTGCGATAAAATACTACACAGCAAGAAAGATAAATGAATTATTGAGACATGCTACAATGGATGGATCTCAAAATAATCATGTCAGGTGAAAGACGGCCAAGAAAATGAATATACACTATATAGTTCCATTCATATGAAATCCTAGAAAAGGCAAACTAATATAGAGTGTTGGAGAGATCAGTGGTTTCTTGGGAATGAGGGGAATGGATGAGGGAGAGAAAGATATATGTATGTCAAAATTTATCAAATTGTACACTTCATGTGGCATCTATTATCTGCCTATTATAGTTCAATAAAACTGTAAAAAGACAAAAATAAAAATTAACCTCTTCTCTTCCAGTCCAACTAAGATTAAGAAATTTCCTAGTTGAGCAGGTGGTGAGGCCCCCATCTATTTGAAGAACTAAAATCATCAGAAAAGTAAAGATATGGAGAAAACTGTATCAGCCAAAACTCTTCTCCAGAAAGATTATTATATGTGGTTGAGAAGCCACTTATAGTGGAAATAAGCTGAGAGCCAAGTGTAGGTGAGAGCAGAAGCCTTCTAAAAAGCCTGGGAGTGGCTAGAGGAGTGTTTTCATACTGCAGAGTGGGATATGCAAGTCTGGGCCAGAGCAGAGTTTCTGAGGGTGCGGGAGAAGGGGCTGTCTGCTTCCACCCAGGCTCTTTGTTTTCTGTTCTTCCCTCCTTAGTTTCTGCTCTCGATACATTCTGAACAGATATTTAAAGAACATTGCTTTGAAAATAAAATAAAGAACACTGCTTTGAAGGTACGCCAAATTACTAGTCTGCTGGACCCCAGTCCACAGCCCAGTGTTGAAGGAAGCAGAGCAAGCCGTCCTCCACAGGCATTCGTCTTTCTGACCCCTTGGGGGAACATGCAGTCAGATTTCTGAAAGAAAGGGTGCTTCAGAAGTCATTTTTGTAGCAAAAGGATGCATAATACTTGGAAGAAAGTCACAACTCACAAGGCTGGGGCAGGAGGAACACGGACTTACACTGTGAAGTCTGGCTAACCTGACACCCTTGCAGAGGGCACGAGAGGGAAAAAGGTAGAAAGAGGGAAGCTAACCTACCAGAAACAGGGCTACAGCAGTGCCCAGGATGAAGCCCGCAATCACGTCGGAGCAGTGGTTCCGATACTCAGAGACCCGATTAAGGCCTGTCAGGAAGGCTGTGCAGAGGGTCCCAAGGCACAGCACTGGTTTAGCCAGCCGACTGCTCTTTGTCTTGATTGTGCTTGTGATGTACATCTGGAACAGGACAGAGACCAGCAAGTGACAGGCAGCCTCCTTGTGCGGTGCAAACACATACATGCACAGACGTGCACCAGCACATGCAACAGGGGCCGCGCCCAAGTGGCCACACTGACTAGTTGAACAATTCCACTAAGTCAGGTAGGAAAGAATTTGGGTGGGAAACCAGTGCAGCAAGAACAATGGATGGCCGTCTCCTAATCATGTTTTGTGTTCTAGTGGGCCCGTAAACAGAAATAGCGATGCAGAGAGTGACCGCATAATGAACATCAGAGTGTGCAAGTTTTATGCAACAAATTAAAGAATCACTTGGAGTATAAGGAAACCCACATAGAATCTCAGATACCGAAGAAACCTTCTGTGAGAATGAATTTTATGAAAGAGAAGGCCAGGTAGGCGAGTGGCTAATACGTTTTACTTTTGGGGTCTCCCAGAGTTCTAGCTGATTCTTCACACTTGTGAGCAACAAACACAAAAGCATTGACTGGTTAGTTGATTGGCTGCATTAGAACTTCCCGATGAGTGTGTCACACAAACAGGTTTCAGTTGTGCTAAGTTCTCACGTTCCTTGGAACAGCTGTGATCGGCTCTCTGCATTCATTTACTCTGGTGTTTAAATTTTTAAAAAATGTTTTATTTCTTTCTGAGAGAGAGAGAGTGCAAGCCGGGAGGGGCAGAGAGAAGGGGACAGAGGATCTGAAGTGGGCACTGCGCTGACAGCACGAGTGAGTCTGAGTGAGGCTGGAACTCATGAACCGCAAGATCATGACCTGAGCCGAAGTTGGAGGCTTAACCTACTGAGCCACCCAGGTGCCCCTACTCTAGTCGTGTTTGAAATTATTGAACTCTATGTGTTTTAAAATATCGAACTTTTCTATGGGTTCCCCGACATCCAAAAGGTTGGGAAAGGAGTTCCTGACCGGAGGAAAGGATGATGTAATTTATGGCACCTGAGATGTGGGCTGTTCTTATCTATTGTGAGGGGCTTGGCAACACTCTTAAAGTTTCATCGGCTCAGTTATCAAATGTGTGTCTGGTGGCCCAGAGCCTCTTTCGAAGAAGTAAACACGGTTCGATCACCTGCAATGGTTATAAGAAACCACTAGAGGGCATTACTGATCCATCCCATCATTTCTTTAGAACCGATAAATGAATTTGCAACTCTGAGAAATAGTATGCTAATACTTACAGTCTACAGTGTGTTTGTATGGCCTGAGCACATACAGGTTCAGTGGATGCATTTTACAATGTTACAATGGAAACTTTTACTTTTGTAGAATGATGTTTCAACAGTGGTGTGAATACAGAAGATGGAATTCTCTATCACATGTAATAGATGACCTACAAAAGTATGGTTTGATCAGTTACAAAAATTAGAGCACATTACACCATTCTGGGGCTGTATAGGAAATGTTACTTAACATCTACACTAGATATATTTAACTCTAGTATTTTATCTTTTTATGTTGTTTTTTTAATTATACCCTTTATCAATCTTTCCTATAAGATTACAAACTAGAAGAACAGGGGCTTAGGGTTAGTATTCTTCACGGTATTAACTAGTCCTTAGATCTTTGTTGAGTAATTTCTGAAAGGACTTCACACATAACAGGGGCTCAAAAAATGTTCACACAATTGGAGTCTTGTATCACGGTTTATCTGATTAATAGTCTGTGGGGCATGATTTGAATTGGATTATATCTGAATCCTTGAAAACATCTGCTATTCTGAGCAGACTTTTTTTCTCAAAAGAAATTTGTATCTCATTTGAGGAGACAATAGATTATTATGAGTAACAGATTTATTTTTATAACGGTGTTCTACAAATTTCACACCTCAGTGGCTTGAGTTCGATAAATATGGGTAGGAAAAGGGTTCAGGAATACATTGCTTCATAGAACTTAGGCTGTAGATAATTTAGAACAAATGGATATTTTGAAAGTTGGAGAACATGCCAAATGCCTGAGAGGATTTTCTTTGTTTAAAGAATACATGGTCGGCCTGCCTATCTATCTAATCTATCTATCTAATCTATCTATCTATCATAAAGCAAGGCTCACCAAGCTATGATTGATCTGTTTGAGGCTCCTATATTATCTAGGTGCATGTTTCCTAACATGGAGCAGCTGAAGTCATTTTTTCTCTCCTATTCATTAAAGAGCAGATTTAAAAGGAATAACTAGGAAGACTAATTTTGGGTAATTGGTGGTTGACAAATTCATCCTATAGATGTGATCTTGTGAATGTGATGCCAAGGAGCCATCGTTTTAAAGAGAATATTCAGCAGTTTACTTGACGCTGTACTGAGTAGACCAGACGTGTAGTCAGTCCCCTTCTTTCCACCCTGAATGTAGGCATCCAGGTGCTGGCAGGGACGCCCTTCAACCGGAGGCAGACTCTCAGCAGAGAGTGCAGTTACCCTCACTTGAGGGGGTGGGAACATGCTCTCCTGGGGGGTGGGGGCGAGTCTTGCTCAGAACCTCTGGGGAGAATGGATTATTTCAAAGGGGTCTTTCCTCTGCCTTCTCCTTCCCTTCTATTGAGACTCACTGGACTAGTCCTACCTGGAACACAGAACATACTTCTGTGCTCTTGTTTCTAAGGAAGCATAGGCCAGAGAAAGGGGAGATGAAGTCATTTCCAAAACGGATGCAATTACAGAGTAGGAAAGTAAAAGGGACAGCATGGTTTCTTCTTGTATTTTAAGATGTGGGACCCACTTTAGGTTTTCTCTGTGACGAAAGCAAACAACGTAGAGAGAACATTGTACACTAGCGGGGGCAGTCAAAGCCTGTAGGATTTGGGGAGCAGGGACAAGTGAACTTTCGGGTGTTGGGGATCTGGTAGGATCACCCTTCTGTTCTGGGTAAACGGTGAAGAAAAGTGTCGGGAGGAGCAGAGGAAAGCTGGGTTTTTATCCCGGGTCTGTTGCACTACCCACGCAGCCGTTCACATTAACGCCCACACCTGCAAACTTGCAGGCAGGTGTGAGAAATGTATGCTGTCCTGGAACCAGTGGAACTTTGGCAAAGAGTGCTGTTGTGAGCAGTGGGAGGATCCC